ACACACACAAAAAAAACTGCAAATTCAACAAAAGGTTTCTGCATAAAACCAAACTATTACACAGTGCAGCACTTTTGCAAAGAGTGCTCATTTTGAAATGCAGTGACGTTTCATAGGTCACAGAGTCAGATCTCCTTGCATGAAAGGAAACACAACCCGTCTCACCTGAGGCGCTGTCTGGGAGTCTGTCTGTCCTTGCTACAGCACAGGTGACCCAGGTAGTAAAGAGGGAAGATGGCACAGTTCCAGGAAGTGGAGAACCAAGTGAGGGTGAATGGGACATTCAAGCGTCCGACGGTTATTTTGGCCAACTGAGTGCAGCCTGTCCAAGAAACACAGATGCAGATCACCACAGCGACACCCCACAGTGCTCTGCGCAGGTGGACTGCAGTCATATGCATACAGCAGCGGAGCCTCTGCAGCCTGTTCCCACAATCTGATTTGACTGTTTCTGTGGCAGAATGGCCATCTACCTTCACTTCCACCTTCTCGCTGTTGGGCTGGTCCTCCCCTGCAGATACAGACAATATAATTGCATAATACAATGCCATAAGTATAGCCACAGGCATTTAATCGCATCAGCCCCTCTTTTTTTTTTAGCAATAAACTTTCATGCAGAACATTCAGGAGAAATTTGCATAACAAAAATGATACTAACAAATCTGAAATACAGTACATAAGAGATATGTAATAATATAATTTCAGAACTGTAACTTTAGTAGGACAACTCACAGTAAGCACCTTTGTAATGTTGAAAACATCTGAAATTCAAACAATGTTCTGGAGTCAATATAGGTTAAGCACTTTTTTAGAGCATTGTTTTTTTATCAAGGATAATAGGTCATTATAGATACACTATTATTTAAAACTTTGTGGTCGGTAAGAATTTGTTAATGTTTTTGAAAGAAGTCTCTTACTGTATGTTCTCTAAGGCTGCATTTATTTGATAAAAATACAGTAAAAACAGTACTATTGTTAAATATTATTACAATTTTAAATAACCGATTTCTATTTTTATATATTTTAAATGTTTAAAAATGTATTCCTGTGATGGCAAAGCTGAAATTTCTGCAGCTATAACTCCAGTCTCCAGTGATCTTTCAGAAATTATTGTAATATGCTGATTTGGTGCTCTAAAACATTTCTTAACATTATCGATGTTGTGCTGTTTAATATTTTGTGGAAACTTTTTTCAGGTTTCTTTAATTCCTTAAATCATTTTTACTATAACATATTAAATTATACATATAAATTAAGCCCAAGTTTAGAAGAACAGCATGTATTTATAAATAGAAATATTTTGTAAAATTATAAATGTATTTACTGTCAGTTTTAATCAATTTAGTGCATTCTTGCAGAATAAAAATATTAATTTATCTAAAAAAAAAATCTTTCTTACCCCAAACCGTTAAACAGTTCTGCATAATAGCACATATAAAGTTACAATAGAGTTTCAGTTATAAAAAATATGGTCACAACTGTGAGATAAAAATTTTTTTATATTTTAAGAAATACAGTCAAAGTGTTTTTACTCCAGGGTGGAAACAGACCTCCATATTGGTGGCGTAATGTCATTTATCACAGACCACATTTCTGACTTGTCCTTATGCTTTTTTTGAAGTAAGACATATAGTCATACAACATTATAAAGCAAGATACAGGAATATTAGATATATGAATAATGTATTGCTGTCCATGATACTGAAGATGCAACACAGTTTCTCCTGCTATGTATATGCATTAATTGTATTACAAAGATTCTAATTTCTCCTTTATATACCATACTTTTGCCCCGTATGACCTGTAAGAGGACATTTAGCATGTACTGGCAAGAACCTGCCCGGTCTGAAGGACAGAACTGTCAGTGCAAAAAGGACAAGGAGGCAGACAGACTGTCCCCCTGTCAGTCAACAGAACAAGTGTCTCATTATCATAGTCAAACCACAGACCACAGTCTGGGATAGTTCATGTGATCTGTGTGCCAGCTCAGTGCTGCAAACATCGACCAAGGTATCAATTTGAAGGTGATGGTGAAGTAGTTAAAGAATTGACTTTTAAATTCAACCCTATACAGTGACAATATGTGAACTAAAACCATGCTGAACTGCCCAATTACCATTGTGAAATGAAAATGTAAGGGCTAATTGGATTGCACAAACCAATCAAATCCATTTATTTGGCATTTATGGGCAGGTTCAATGAACATCCGTCTGACCATCTCTCCATCGACTGCTGTATGATGTAAAAAAGCAATGTCAAACCATCGTTTTTATTGCATACAAGTGCCAGAGCTGGAGGAATTATTCTCTCACTATTAATTTTTAAAGATGCTCTGTTGCATCATTTGAACTCCAACATTGATGATGAATGATCTACTTACTTCAAATGCTCTAAACGAAAGTCTCAACATTTTTACTTTACTACTAACTATTATTTTGGAGAATCTGTTTACACCAAATATTTTTTATCTGTTGCAACTGCATTCACAGAAAATGTTTTACTCCGTTACAATTTCATGTAGACTAGTATACTAAAATACTACATCGGTAAAGTATATGTTATATGTCATTATGACTTAAATCTTTCCTCAATTATTTAAAAATAAAATCGGATTTTTTTCTTTATCCTAATGTGACTAACAAGTCGATCAATCATGTTCACATAAGTTTAACTTGTGCATGAGAGCGCACACAAATCGTATGCTTTGAATATGATGCAGTCAGTGGAGGAACGGAAATGAGAATTGAGAGAGACCTCATCTGCCCCTGATGACTCAGCAAAAAACTGGGCTCTGACTCAGTTACCTTCTCATGCATAGTAGAATAACTGACAGAGCTGCACGTCGTAACTCAGGCTACAGTGCTCAGCTCAAATACAACAATAGATTCATCAGGGGTCCCATTTGCTAAACGGATATTTGCAGAATATGCAAGACGTTTTTCTTTTGCCTGTGTCAACAGTATTTTAAAGTGCGGCCACAAAGAAATATTTGTGCGTGGGGTTGCAGAGGAGCTCAAATTGATGCAGGGGTGTGAAGCTGGTCTTTGATCGATGTGTTTACATCATAAAGCATAGATGTTAAACTCTCATATAAAAAAAAAATCAAAGATCAAAGAATGTATAGACAGGACTAGCAGATTGATGAAAGCAAGAAGAAACAATCCTCGCTGTAACCTTTAAGCCACATTTAAATTTTTTTAGGAAGGAGTCAACCAGATTATTTCAAGTGTCAAGCAATGCAAAGCACGTCCAAACAACAGACTTACATAATGCATGTAAAAGTTATATAATGCAATATAATGAAATTCATGTAATACTATTTTATTTCTATATAGGATACTTTAAAAGTTAAAGGGATAGTCCACCTAAAAAATTTTATTCTGTCATCATTCACTCACCCTTACAAACATGTCTACATGTCTTTCTTCTGTGGAACACAAAAGAAGATATTTTGAGAAATTTTCATGAACTGGATAACAAACATTCTTCAATATATTTTTAGGTTCCAAAGATGAACGTCATACAAGTTGAGGTAAGTGAATTATGAGAGAATTAGCATTTTTGGTTGGACTATCCCTTTAAGGTTAAAGAACCCTTATAGTTCTATATGCCCTTAACTCATATAATATTCATTCAATTCTTTACATTTAACTTATAAAAACACGCATGAATTAAGTATACCTCTAAGAGGTCCGTTCCGGGGCTCATAGCCATAGTAACCAGTGATCCTCAGGATCCGCTCTTCTATGGATGCGTTGTTGATGTACTCGACCGATCTCGATGACTTCAGTTCTTCACTTAGATCTTCATCAATGACGAGGGATTTCAGCTGTCTGATCCGAGGACTGATATCTGACAGGCGGCGCGGACTCATGTCTGAAGGCTTCCTCATTCCCCTGAAGTTAAAGAAGAGACATCAGAGCACAATGGATCTCTGCGGAAATGTATAGCTTAGAACCACCCTGCATGTAAACACACCGTCCACAGCGCAAACACACCGTCCACAGCGCAAAATCTTTTATATTTCTAATTCTAATATGAGAAATTATAAGCAAGCACCATTAAGTATGGTAATTTTCATACTTAATGTACGTGTGTTAGTTCATAAATAAATACATCTTATATTCAGTATATAGTTTAAGCACCACATGTAATCCATTATAGTTTATGGCATTTTCATTGATGCTCTTAAAAAACTTTATTTAATTTATTTTAGAAAATTATAATTTCCAATGCATATTATAACCTCCTTGTATTTCACTTGAACAAAATTGTTGGTTTGAAAAACCCTGTGAAAATGCTGTCTGTTATAAAAAACAAAAACAAAACAAAAAATATTTCTACATTAGACTGCAGTACAAAGAAGTGTAACAAATGAAAGCAAGTTGAGCATTAAAAATCTAAGCTTGGTAATCAAATCTGTCTTAATAAAACTCCTTAAAAGCATCATTATGCCATTAGGTTATTAAACTGTCACTCAGATTAGCTTTTCAGCACTTAATCAAATGTAAAAGATTCTACCTGTCTTTCGGAGGACACAGTTGAACACAGGGTGCTGGAGTCTCGTCCTCTCTCTGCATTGCGCCGGCACATCATGTGTGGGGATCTTGTCCCTGCAGTGTGGCAGCTTCACGGTCCACAGCCAGCTTTTGAAAGATGGCTAGCAGTGGGGGTGTGAGCCACTGTGTGTGTGGTGAGCAAAGGGTAGTTCATTGTAACTGGTTGGCACCTATTGATCGGAAGGGCCGTCTCCACCCCAGCACAAGCCCCAGTCAGGTGACCTGTGCTTAGCTAAGCAAAAACTTCTGACAGTGCCGTCAATAACCTCCCGACACCTTCCGCTGGAGAACGGCGTGGGGAGAAGCCATGAGGTCTGCACTCCATATGCTCAAAATTGAGCTTGGCACACACTGTAGCGGGACCTGACATCTAATGAGGCAGACTGGCCATGGGAGAGAGAGTTTAATAGAAAAATCTTGGGTGAGAACTATCGAAGTGCTCTGGTGGAGATTATTCACATTTACCAAGGACACACCAAAAGCAAAGTTTAAAGGAGACATTTATAAATAACAACTGCAGTATTCAATAGTTTGTTCTCTTCAAGGAGAACAGTAGTGTAATATGCCCCACAGGGCAAGATGACACTTCCTTTTTTGCCTCTGTACCATAGATTGTCTCATTTCAACACATTTAATAATGGATATGGATAGGTTAAATTATCTAATTTTGTGTTTCTGGAAAATAGTGATGTATAACATTGCATTATGCTGAATTATGCTGTCTATTTGTTAATGGGGTATTTGTGGAGTAAAAATACTGTTTTTATTTTAAGGTTAAAAGGTAAAATTAGACTGTTGGGCTAACATGGCTCCCCCATGAATTCATGGGGCAACTATTCAGTAACTCCATAAATTAGATGTACATTTCAGACATCTTCGCTATTCATGCAATATGAAATGATTCAGTTTGAATTCATAGTGTTGCTATTATGTCATAATTTCTTTAATTAAATTTATAATATTTATATAATATATAATTTTATATAATATATAATTTATATTCCTTTACATATTATACTTTATATCTTTTACTGGGATTCTGCTTTGTCTGTCTTTGGTCATTCAATTATTGAAGTAAATTCTCAAAAAAGCCAGACAAAATAGCTTTAACTCTGGTACAACACATCAAATTTCCCATAGGAAAGAAAACTCATGAGATTTCTTTAATATCTTGTTCTTTCTCCTAAATAGCAATGACACAAGTTCATGAGACAAGTTCTCCAAGTTCAAATGGAGATTATCGATCTTGCACTTCTCAGATTCTTGTAATCTCACTTTTTTATTCTAATTCCCAAAGAGATTTCAGATTGTTGAAACAGTTGGAAATTTCGATATGAACTGATATTGCAGCAATATCTAAAAATATATTTCTCATCAAATAATAAGCCAAATTATTTATAGCTTATTTATAACTTTTGGGTTAAAAATTTAATGTAAACATTTAACCCAACGGTTGGGTTAGTCCATATTTGACCCAAAGTTGGGTTGAAACAACCCAGCATTTTTTAGAGTGTATATATATATATATATATATATATATAGGAAAATAAAATTGGCATGTTAATAATAAAATTGGCATCATTCATTCATTCATTCAGTGCTTCATTCATTCATCATACCTAAACCAACAGATACTAACATGAAAACATTCCGGATATACTCAAAAAAGAGCATTTTCTCATGATATGAAGGAATTGTTCACCTTTGGAGAAGCCCTGAAATATAACCTCCTATATCGCCTCATCTAATGCTGTGATGATAATGAATGTGACATTTAGATGAATGTCTAGGGGAACTCAAGAAGGTCTCTTATAGTTTCATGTGCTCAACTTATTGAAATTTGTCCTGGTCAAGTTTAACAAGGTGAGCACAGCTGCAGGGCCTTGTTAACATAACCTCGGCTCAATTTCAGCACCACTATTACAGGATGGCATCAAATTCACTTTCAAACAGCAGAGTAAATATCTCTTTTAACAGCACTGAGCAGGCATCCTGTTAACAGACTGTACAGCTGCTCAGAGTTTTAACACACATATATAGCCACGCAAAATGATCAAAGTAAACAACTCTGAGAGGTGAAGGAGATGTGTTTGGATTACATTTGATATGTGCTGCAAGTTCTGTTTCAGTTCCCTTTCAGTCGGTCACTCTCGACGTCACGTCGGATGACCGATGAATTGGGATCTCGCTTATACTCACGCTGTGATCAGCAGCAGCTGGATGCAATAATCGCATGCCAATGTGCATTGGCTCGTTTAGTTTACACTCGAAGTAGATTGGTCCCTCTAAGCGAGATCCCAATTCGTCGGTCATCCGACGTGACGTCTCCGTTCCCTCCTTCAGGGAACGAGGGTTACATACGTAACCGAGACGTTCATATGTACAACGTCTTGCTACTGGCTGAAGAATAAACACAATACAATTAAAACTTCTACAGAATAACCAAAATCTCCAGTTTATTCTGTTTAGTTAAGAGTGCGACTTTAGGCATGTGCAATAAAATATAAAAATGAAAACTGAATGATAAAATAACATTAATTTCCTTCAGCAATATACCCAGTCACTCATAAGAACATATACTGATGCACTGATGTGACTCATGTTCTCGGCTTACAATACAACAGTAACGGCACTCAATGCACAACAGCACCTTTAGGTGGTGGACAATGCCTAATGCAACTGCAGAAGAGCCAACATGAATAAAGCCGTAAACGTAAAGAAATTAAATATACACATTTTTGATTGTCTGATGCCTCTACTAAAAATATACATATTTTTAAATTCCCTTAATGAGTGAATTACAGAATGTGTCACTAGGAATGTCATCAGGGGACCTGCCCCTGTCTATTCTAAATATCTAATGAAAAAAAAAAAGACTAAAGGCTGGAATACACTACGTGATTTAAAAAAAAAAATCTGAACAGATTGTTAAACACCGGCATTGTACATTTGCAGACTTTGAATAGAGTTAAGGCTGGAATATACTATACAACTACTGATTTTCAAAACTTTCCAAAAACACAATAAACTCACTCAGAAATGTGCCCCTTATTGCTGACAAATGAAAACAATGTTCTAAAATTGGCTCAAAATATATAAACATTTGATATTCTCAGATTGGATGGAATCTTAATTTAAAGCTAAAAAAAAATCTAGTATGTGCCCATCATACACTACACAATTTTCAGTGAAATCTATCAACTCTGACTGCCTAAAATCAGTAGACTTACTTTTCCAGACAGCAAATCAGGGCAAAAAACATTGTATAAAAGTCATGCAGTGTTTTCCAGCCTTAAGCAATATCTACAAACTTAGTAACCTGAAAACATGATTTCCATTAATACATCTGTAAAACTATAATAGAGGATATGGATCCCTTTATGTCACCTAACAAGAACAGCATAAGAAGTATGTAATGCTAGTCTATGACCACTTACCAGTTAACTATTTATATTTAGAAGTCATGGATGGATTTATCATTTACATACACACAAAAACACACACACACACACACACACACACACACAAAACCCTGGTCACAAAATGTTTTTCTGTTCAGCAGCAGCATGAACCATGATGTCCTATGATATTATGTATTCTACAAATTCATACAATCCTTTTCCACAATAAATCACCTTCAGCCTGTGTTTCAAGTATTCATATAAGGTTTCAGTTAACTTGACAGCAGAGTAGCCTACACTAACAAATTACAATACATTTGTGCTCTTAGCGGAGATGTTTCAGAAACATTAATGTGTCAGGTTTCTAGACACAAAATTTTAGGATGCATCATCGGCCCATTGGTCCATTGGAGGTAGTAGTAGGTGAGGCAGAGATTATGTCATCAGGAAACACATCAGTTTTATCCTCCCTAAAAGAGGCTGCCTGGCCGGACACAGAGAGGTGATCATGATCCACAATGTTTAGCTGGTCTTCTGTTTTTTGTTTTCTCAGGTAGAACATCTTCCTGAGCTTCTTCAGCTGCTGAAGTTCACAGAAGGTTTCCAGAACCACTAGCATTGCGATCAAGCCCAATATCAGGTAGACTGTAGAGGAGAGAGGCAGGTAAGATTAAAGAGGGCCAGAGAGCCTTATGGGGTCTGCGGTGATACTACAGGGGGTGTTGGAAAATTAATTGTTTAAAAAAAATGTCACAGTGCAAACGCTAAGTTAACAAAGCAACCTAAGATAAAGTTCAACCAAAGTTAAAGAAACTAAAGTTAAAGTCCAAAGCTAAAGTTCTGCTACTGTACATGTTTAATTGTCTGTATCACATACCATTCAAAAGTTTGGGGTCAGTTAATTTTTTTTACAATTAAATTATTACTATTGTTTAACAAAATGCATAAAATTATTCAAATGTGACAGTTAAGAATGTTAAAAATGGTTAAAAAATCAATTTAAAATAAATGCTCTTCTTTTGTTCTTATCAAAGATTCCTGAAAAAAATGTATCTACAAAAATATCAACAGCATAACCATGTTACTTGAGCACCAAATCAGCATATTAGAATGATTTTTGAAGGAGGTCAGTGGAAGGTCACACTGAAGACTGAAGTAATGGCTGCTGAAAATTTAGCTTGGGCATCACAAAAATAAATTACATTTGAAAATACATTCAAATAGAAAACAGCTATTTTAAATTGTAATAATATTGCACAACATTGCCATTTTTACTGTATTTGTAGATCAAATAAATGCAGCATGAGCATAAAAGACTTCGTTCAAAACCATTTTAAAAATCTTTCCAAACCTTTAAACAATAGAGCATGTATAAATGTAAGAAAGAAAAAGTAAAATGTATATATGTACATCAATAATGTTTAAATGAACTGTGCACTTACATGTAATGCCCAATTTATAGATTTCTCTGAACCTCTGATGGTAGCCCTCTCCTGGTACATAGTCGCCTAAGCCAATAGTACTAAGAGAGATGAAGCAGAAATAGAAGGACTCCAGAAAATTCCAGTCCTCTTCCAGTACTGAAAAGATGATAGCAGGTATGAGGAAGAAGCAGGAGACGATTATAATGGCCAGCAGGGAGGCGTGCAGGGCGGCCAGCAGAGGTTTGGACATGCCCCAGCGCCGGTGCAGGTACTCCACGGGCCTGCGGGTACTGAACTCCATGATCCTCTGGACCACTGCAGTCAGGAACAGCAGGGTGAACGGGATTCCCACCACTGAGTAAATGATGCAGAAGGCCTTACCACCATCTGAGAGAGGAACGGTGTGGCCATATCCTGGAAAAAAACACATGAAGCTCTTTGAAGGGGTCTTTTCATTTCACAGGTTGATTTTTTCCTGTGGGTTAAAGGTCATAAAAATGTATTTGACTGAAATGTACTAAAATATTTTACTCATTTTATATTCTACCAAAAATAAAACTGTTCTAGATGATGAGTTGTAAGAGAGGGACAGTTGGGAGAACTCCTTAATGAAAACACTGTTGCATTGTAATTGTATTTATGATTACTACACTGAAGAAAAATAGTGACGAAACAATGAATTTTCATTCAAAAAATGATAAAGAAATGGCAAGTAACACATTGAATTTTACAAGAAATTTGTAAAACATACTCCAATAATCTTTGTTTTATTTACTTTAACTTCAGTCTACGGTATAGTGATTTTCAGGTTGAAATTGTGTATAAAGCATAATAGTAACTGTAAATATGCATTTAGCCTAATCATGGGAGTGACGTATTTTATGTTTAGATATTTGAGATAAGGTCATTGGGCTAGTTCTGGATATTTTTGACTGCCCATTGGACAAATTTTGTTTTGCAGATCTGGCAATCCTCATCTCATCTAGCATTTTACTCAAATGAACCAGTTAATTTTGTTTTAAACACCATCCTAATCACATAACGAAAAGTTACCAGGAATGTCAAGGGTGTTACCTGTTGTAGTACTTAAATCCTGCTGGATTAAGTTACATAATCCTTGGAAACACTACACACACTGCATGCTTATCCAGTTCAGACATCCTTCAAATCACCCACTGCAATGAATTAAAAAACCACTAGGGCTCCTAAGGGGCTGTAAATATGTGAGCATGCACTTATTTTGCTTTATTTGTAAGAGTGTCATAATAAATACAGTGAAATCTCTAAACATTTTGTGACTTGTGAAGATGATCATCACCATTAATACAAAAAGATTCAAAAGTGGCCCAATTACAATTATGTTTTGTCTATAGTATTATATCTGTTTTATGATATTTGGTATCATATTTGCTACTTTTTTTGCTTATGTTTAATACATCCTGAGCACTGACCAAAATGTTAATGTTATCGTTATTAATAGAATAGTTATTAACAGCTATAGTTATAGTTATTAACAGTAACAGCCAACAGCATAACACTGCTGGTCATTTGAAACAATGAAGCCCATTATAAGCAATTTAGTCTATGCAGAATAATACTTTTTTTCTAGAAGACTTACATATTTTTATTTCATGTGATTGCATATTATTTTGCAGAAGTGCTGGTTATTTATTTGTGCAAAGCTTGTTTAATGAGCAAAAAATTACTACCAACTTTTTCTTAGAAGGATATGCAAAATGGAGTCTAAATTCCCAGTGTATCCTATTTTATTGTTATTTATTTTTATTTTCCCCTTTGTAGTATGTTAAGAATAAAAATATTATCACAGTCTGTATTATATGTTTGTACGAGATCTTGATATATTGCAAGGCCCATAAAGCTTTGTTGACTTTTGACTCATTATGAAAGGAGGGAGAGAGACAGACTGCTCTAACCCATTAAACACAGTAGGCAGGTCTCTTTTCTTGAGTTACATCCTTGTTTTAAAGCATATTTAGTCTATATAAAAGTATTATTGTAAATGTTGGGCTGTTTAAAAAGGCCACATCATACTGTACAAGCTTTTCAACCTTCACAGGCTGACGTCAGCAAATGCTTTTATCAGAGATCTCAGAGAGGACAGGTCGACCTTACAAATGACACCACACCGGTGTTTTCTACCATTGTGGGTAAATGATTGTAAAGAAGGACTTACCTGACTACAGACAGTAAATAATATCATGTAAATCAACAACTGGGTTAGAACACAAAAACAATCCTATTATGGCTATTTATTATTGTGAAGAGAAAGTCTGTTCTCACCTGTCGTGGACAGCACAGTGCTGGCGAAGAAGAGGGCTGATGTGAAATCCCAGTTCCAGTTAGTAGTAGCATTATTGAGAACCGACACACCGTAATTACTCGCTTCTAAAGCTCTGGTGAGAAACTCCTCCAGTCTTTCTTCGGACAGACATTCATTATCATTTAGAAACTGCTGCCTCACGGTCCGAAGCTCTTGCCGAAGCTGCTCTTCATACGGCAGCTCCACCGCGTAAAACACTAAAGCACCGAATATCAGATATAACACATACGCCAAAACCAAGACCAAGAAATACCACGTAGACCTGTAACCTTCTATGACACGCACACACGAACTTCCAGACAGACACTGAAGCATCGTCTCTGCGGGAGAATTAATACAGGTAGTTGTATTACAGGAATACACTTGTTTCTTACAAATAAAAGGGAGCAAACACTCTTACAGCTGTCTTTTGATTATAACTTCCTGTTTGTCCCCTGCCGGTATTGCGGAGCTGATGTGTCGGATGATCAGTAGAAGCGTTTACTAATCGTACTATGGCGAAGGGTTTTATTAATATTCATGAATCCACCACTCGCCTGTGGTGGAAGGTAACAACGCGACGTCAGCTCTACCTAATTAATATTTATAAATCAAGCCATCGCCATTGGATGGTTACAACGGGCGTCAGAGTTATCTGATTAATATTCATGAGATTGCCTTCGCTGTAGTAGGATTCCTATTTTGCGTCAGGCTCATGACGTCTCGTTCCTCCACGCCTCATCTTACTCAGATCAGCTCTGTTGATTACATTTATCACGGTAGGGCGCACCTAGTAAGGTAAACTTGAGGAATTTGCGTTTAGAAGACAGATACAGTTGAGCAGCTGTCTCAATGAGAGGATACTATAGGCTAAGTGAAAGTGACCCAGGCCATTAGGGTCAGCAGCAACTGCTTCGAAGACATACATAGGCTATTCTATTACCTGGTAGAACAGGTTTGACCAGGTGGTGATAGGATGGTCTTATGGGATGACAAAAGATTTGATTGAAGTGACCTCAAACAAAAGTGTTGTTGGAGCTTCCCATGTTTCCTCATGTGTATCAAAAAGCTTTCACGTGTAGCAATGGTTATGAATAGCCAAAACTCTTGTGGTTTCTGTGAAGGGCAGTTGTGAAGTGGTCTGTCTGCATTTAAGAGTTCAGTGACCTGTTTCAGTGTGATCAATAAATGTAAATGAAGTCAGAGTAGCCTAGGAAAGCACCATATAAATGTATCATAAAGGTAGTCCATACAACTACATTTCAAATTTCTTGAAGCCATTAGCTGTGTGACAAACAAAATGTCATAACGTGATCAGTTTGTTTGATAAATGAATCATTTAGAACGGTTTCGCTATTCAACTGATATATTGAAAATATTCTACTAAAGAGAACTATTCAGTCACAAAACCTGAAAGTGCCAGTTCATGTTTTCTGATTGAATTGTTCTTTTGAGTCAGACATATTCGATACAAGACTGAATAATTCATTTGTGAATCAAACTGATCTTGTCCTCGAGTCTCAAGAAGAGCTAGGATGGATGTCAAGATTTTCAAAAGAATAATGATGTAATTTATTCCTTTCCTTACAAAAAGCTATTGTGTGACTTCAGGGCACACAGAATTTAGCACATAAGTTGCATCAATCACGTTTATCATAATTTTATGATGCTTTCTTTGTCATGTTGGAGTTCAACAGCCCCTGTTCTCATTCACTTCAAAAATTCCCCTTGCGTGTTCCACAAAGGAATAAAACTCATGCAAGTTTGGAACAACAGGATGACAGAAATTACTTTTTTTTGATGAGCTACCCCTTTAAAGCATCACATTGTTTGCGTTTTGACAATTTCTTCATTTTAAAAGCATCACTCCACCCTGCACAGGCATTATGCAGGAGATGATTATCTCAGTAAACAGGTCTGTGCACATTTTATAGCTAAAGCTGCTGATGCACAATAGCAGTGGTTAATACATCTGAGATCATCAGACTGCTTATGTGGATAGTGTCATACTTGTGTGTCATAGTCTACTCACAATTTCTTCATTTTAAAAGCATCACTCCACCCTGCACAGGCATTATGCAGGAGATGATCATCTCAGTAAACAGGTCTGTGCACATTTTATAGCTAAAGCTGCTGATGCACAATAGCAGTAGTTAATACATCTGAGATCATCAGACTGCTTATGTGGATAGTGTCATTCTTGTGTGTCATAGTCTACTCATTCCTCTTTAAACTTTTACTGTATTTAAATGTTTTACAATCACAAACTCTCTCAACAATGCTCTTGTCCTCATTTTGTTTTAATGCCAGATTTCGTGAGTGGCTGGACAGTTTGATGTGACAGCTGTACTTCCTGTGCCTCTTGCCATTCTGCAGATTTGCTGCATCACTGGATGACTGTATGCTTCATTCTTGGTACTGAACAGAAGTCAAACTCTGAGAGCTTCCTTTTTTATATTCTGTTCTGCTCCTTTGGGTTATTTCTGGACGATCGAGTGAAATGTGAGACCTCTGGCCAGACCTGAGCGCCAATGTAGTCAAGGATGTTGCTCTCACACAGAGGCACAAGGCCGTGACACAGAGCCAGTGTTATTGTTACACTGCTAGTGACATGTTAGAGCTAATCTGCTATGACAATTATTTACATAAATGTCACTGACAATAAGATTAATAGGGAGTTATGTTATTGTAGTGGAAAATCGCCAGATATTCGCCGATAATCTAATGATTCTGCACAATGAAAAGTAAATCTGGAATAAAAAAATATTAATTAAAAACATTTATTTATTTAACAAAATGTTGAACTACTTTTTGCTTTTATAACCATGCGCGAAACGCAACAGAGAAAAGACGCAATGTGCATTTTTGCATAAAACAGCAGCGAGGTGCAGTGTAAAAACGTATTCACAAAGAACGCATTTTTGCGTTTGAAAACGCGAGACGCAGGGTAATGGAATGGAACAAGCATTAATACAAGCTGAACAACTTTTAACTTGAGCCCTGCGTTTTTAGACGCGAGTGCAAAGGTGAAAAACGTCCGTCTAGCTTATGTTCACATAGAAACACAATGGGAAAATAGCGCGGTGAAATACAAAAACGCGTTCTTATATGTAAACGGTCCCTTTAATACCCCACTGCAGAATAAGCTGAGCCATAAACACAATATGGAAAAAGACACATCCTTGCCAATATTCAGATTTCTGCTTCAACATGGGGGTTTTCAGTGACTGAACTTTAAATTATTGCATTTGATCTCCCGAGTTCTGAATATGTGGTAGCATCATTTTATGCAAGCTCCGTTTAGGACCACTAGAGGGTATTGTGACTCCAAAAACGGGGAAAATCACCTTTAGATGTTTGTAGAGGTGTGTTTCAAATGTCAGATCCAGACTCTGGAAAAGTGTCTAAAACCTGGTCTGGTTATTCTCCAGACCATGTTTTTGAAAGCATAGCAAACTCTTTCGGTGACCTTAACACTTATATTTGCATTCCTCTACTGTGAGTGGAACAAAAAATAGAAGTTTAACCTGCCACATCTGTAGAGTTCTAGTCCTTTAAAGTGTCTAGAACCCTGTCAATCTTACACCTAGGTATAATTTATCACTCCTGTTTCATGGCCACAGACCTTTGATGTTTCTCTGTCTACTGTACTTCTCTGCCTACTGTGGTTAGAGTTATATTTTAAAAGCTTGTGATTTTCATGTTTAGCCACTTTAAAAACAGAGGAAGTTGCTAGTTATGTTTTGAATTGTTGGATTGTGTACTTTCTGTTTTACGAGGCTACCATTAGGTTATCACCTACCGCTTAAAGCCATTTTCACATGCTTATTCCATTATTCAAATAAGGAATGCTATTTCCATTACTCACTTGTGCCTTAATAATAGTTTTTAGATCTCGTAAAGACTTGTGATATTTCCTACGTCAAAGGGAGGACGCAGAATGAAGATTAATCGGTGGCTTTGTCGACACCGTTGATCTACACCTATGCGCATAAAGGAACGGCAGAGAAGCATAAATGCTTCAAAGCATTCCAACTTTGTTTTAGTGCTTCACAGAAGGCCCTTTTCTTCCAGGTACTGGCTTAAAGGAAAGACAGATGAAATGTCAGCACGCACATAGGGATTAAATGTCCTGTTTGTTGAAAACAAGAACTTCCCCAAAATCCAACATGAGGTTACTTCATAAATCAAAGGAGATCATGTTGTTAGTCTCCACCTATCCTTGTCTTTAGTCTATCATTTGTCTCTTGCGTGGCACAGCCTGCTTATATTATTCGCTGTAACCATGGCATAGCCACTCAGTGTGTACGTACTCAGCTTTACTTTTTTTTCAATGTCATTGATTGGGGCCACATGCGGCGTTTACATGCATATGTTTCAGGTTGAGTACAGGAGAAGCCTCCTGGCCCAACAAGTTCTGCGGTTCACTTTGGACATGTAGGCTGTAGTCCGGACTCAGAAAAGACATCCCTGCCGGCATCTGGAAAAGCCATCCCTGCCGGCAGGTCCACCCCACAGGGGCTCTTTTGCTGGGTCTAGTCCATGAAGAGCTGTGGTAAGCGCACTGCATTCTGTAGACTCCTCTGAGAAATAAGTCTGCATTACCTCTCCTGATTTATATCGCCCATTTTTAAGGCCACTGGCAGAAAACTCAGTGGCATTCTTGTATGCACTTTGCTGTGCAGTTAATGTTAGAAAGACTAAATAAAGAACAACTAAAAATGAGAAAGTACTGGTTTCCCCAATTTAACCCTCATAATCCATTTGTGTCTAAGACCCTAAAGTCATCTGAAATACAATTCATTTGGGTATATTTTTCAGGCTATTCTGCTGGCTACATTATCTCTATCTATCTATCTATCTATCTATCTATCTATCTATCTATCTATCTATCTGTCTGTCTGTCTGTCTGTCTATCTTTCTGTATGTCTGTCTGTCGTTTTGAATGAACTTGAGTCATTTTGAATGCTTGAATGGCTCAAAAGAGTCGTTTTTATGTGAATTGGTCAATCTGTATGCTGTTGATTCACTGAAAAGAATCAGTTCATAAGAGTCATTTGCTTCTGAATCATACTTCACAGGTTGCACTATTTGTTACTGCGTGCAGCCTGTGATGATTACTCAATAAAAACATGATTTTATTGCCAATATTTCACAATGCATGTGCTTAATCTCACACTCATCGTAGCTGTAGATTCAATAATGTTTTAGATTTAGTAGCACATGTGGGTCGCCGCTGAAGCACAATCGGTGCACAGTAAAAAAGATTGAGCTTGAAATGTAATCAATATTGAGATTAAAATGTGTTCAAATAAAGATTTTATGGAGCCCTTAAGGGGACATGGTGATGAAAAAAATGACATAAGAAGGAAAATTATATTTCAATGCTTTTGTGTTCTCTTGCAAAAGTATTGCATTCACCCAAGAAACTCTCTTGCAAATCATTTGCATTTACTCACATATAGTTTTTCCTGCCACTGCCTATTATTGTCA